GGACGCCTCTGAGCGCAGGGGGCGCCAAGCACAGTCCGGCCGCGCCGTCGGTGGCCGCGTTTCGTACCGGTCCCTCAGAGTCACACCTGCAGGCTAGAAGCAAAGCGCAGGGTCAAGTTAGCAATCTACCAATCCCTATCGATACTGCCGTTGAGTTTCGAGGCCGCCTTTTTCACGCACTGGCTGCCGACACAAAGCCGTTGCAGGCCCCTCCGCGCCTTCTTAGATCTGATCGCAGTAACAGGAAGCATGATTCTGCCACTACGCTTTCGGATTGCCCCACTGAAAAGGATGAGCAGAAGACGTCCACTTTGACTTTTCATGAGCTGTATTCCACCGCTGGTGTGAAGAGTTGGAGTTCCTCCATGAAGTATGCCCCATTGCCGCCCGTTTTCGAATCCACAACGGTACCTCCGGCGGTTGTGGCCAACTCTCACCAAGGATCAACAATTTCGGAAGCTTCTCTTTTATCCGTGTCAGGGGCGAATGGATTGCATCTGGAGAGGGATGAGGTCTCTTCGATCCTTCCACCCGTGGGTAATGTAGATTCTCGGGGTCTTGGGTGTCGCGCCAGCGCTCACGTCTTAGCGCGGGGTAGTCTCGAGCGGGGTGGTATTGGACCGGGCTCGAACAACGAACCCAACACAGGTTTCCCGTGCATGCCACCACTTGAAAACCTATGCAACGGCGCACGGAATTCACAGTGCACATCGGAGCCGACAATATCAGTGGAAGTTTCGGCTGAAGCTCTCAAATTGAGTCCTAATAGTGACAAGGAGCTTGTTAGAGATAACCTCTCAACTACTATGCACACAAGTTGTAGTAACCTCGATAATCCAACTTTTTCTAATGTACTGCGAGGTGGCGATTTTCAAACGGACCGAAAAGATCTTAGGAATGATCAGGTTGTTGTTCTGTCATTAGGCCCTATCTTCCCAATTGCCAACCTGCATGGAACGTAATTCTTTTTTTGAGCGTTGCAGGAAGATTAAACAATCTTGGCAAGTGATTGTATCTACATTGCACACATACACACACATATATATATATTTATATAAATACGTATATATATATCACTTAGATTTCTGTTGTTTGTCCACTAGCATTATGGAGAGACGTAATCTGGAGTATTGAACTTTCATTACAAGCTAAAATCATCTACCAATTGTACAATTGATGATGAAGCGCGCAGTGCTTTCCCGAGCTATATATTTGCTTGTATTTGTTATATTATCTCATATAAGCGATAAAAAATACTGCGTATTCAAGTATAGCACTTTCTCTAGAATGCAACGAGGTGGCTTGGGTAGGTAAGGAAAAAATTAGCCCTAGAGGGAGAGTGAATTGGTATATGTGTTAGTCATGGCAACTAGTTTTTGCATACTGCATGCCTCACTTTATTCTATTTCCAGATATAAAAAAAGACAGTCAATAACATTTCTAAAGAGGATTGAATGCCATTCCATACAGCAAAGAAGACTTATCATTTACAAAATTGCATTGTTTTATTTTCCTTTTTTTTGATCATTCTATTGTTCCTCAACACTTATTTAGATCATCTCACACATTGCGTCTGGCACTCCCACTCCGTATGATTGGGATTGACAGTGGCAGGGGGGATCATGACGGACAAGCTGAACTCGCATCCTCGCTAGAAGAGGGACCTGTTTTTCTTTTTTATGATCCTAATGATATTCCTCCTGCATCTGGGAAATACATTGGGTTTATATCTCACTTTATTGCTGGTTACTACAATTCTTCCAGTGATGGCGTCGATTCGATGGGGATCTTGGCAGATGGTACAGAGGTGACTAAATTATGTGAGGAAGCAAGTAAGATTCTAGCCGCTGAACCGGTTGTTTTAGGCGTCGATGTGCGCGCTGAGGAGAATTTGGTTATTGTTGGTGATATCCATGGTCAGTTCAACGATTTGCTTCATAGTGTGCTAGGGGTTCAGCTCGGGAGGCGACCTTTTTCAGGAAGCAGAAGAGTCCCACCTCATCGCTGTTCGCTCAATTCAGTCAAATACTGTGATTTTTCAAATCCAATATATAAACGTGACGGTGAGACATTCTTCCCGGACATGGAAAAGGGAGGTAGGAAAGCCACGTTTGAAAGAAATCTTCGTAATGCTACAAAAACCACCGTGACCTCAGAGCTTTACAGTGGTGGATTTGATAGCGACGGCTGCGGCTGGTCGACCAACCCCGGACCGTCAACATCTTCACCAGTCGTAATAGGCGACGTCGACAAAGTTGTCAAGTTTCTTTTCCTGGGGGACTATGTAGACCGCGGCCCATGTAGTGTCGAGGTCATCCTTCTTCTGCTTGCGCTCAAAGTCGAGTACCCCAATCACATTTTCCTGCTACGCGGCAATCATGAGGAGGCACAGACGAGTCGCATGTACGGCTTTCTTCACGAGTGCCGGGCAAAATTCTCTTTCATGTGTAGTCGTTACGACAAGGTTTGCGATAAGCATAGCTCCCATCCTTTTTGTAATGATTCTCATAATGCTTCACAGCACCGATACGTCCATGAACAGTATAGCACCAATAGACAGGACATGAGTAGCAATGGCAGCGCTCCGTCTAGCACCTCCTGTAGGGGGATACGTAGCCACGCCAGTGCTCTGCGGGGTGGCGCCCCTTGCAGCGGGGATCACGCCACCAAAATATGGCTCTGCTTCAACACGATGTTTTGTTGGTTACCCTTGGCCGCGGTAGTGCGCTGCGGCACGGGGTATGTCTTCTGCATGCACGGTGGGCTCAGCCCGCATACAAGGCGCATCGAGTCCTTGCAGCACCTACACCGGCGGGCGTACGGCCTGCAGCACAATACCACCACTGAGCGAGAGTGGCAGGATTCGAACTCGCCGGACTCGAGCACCTATAGCAGCCCGCAACCATCCCCATGCGTGGTTGACGGCAGCCCTCACCGTTCTCGTGGGGATAAAAAGGACCGGGTCACTCGCATCATCGATGGACTTCTCTGGTCGGATCCTTCAGATGACGTCGTGGGGTTCTTGCGCAGCCAACGTGGCCACGGCTATTCCTTCGGTGCCGATGTCATAGAGGCATTCCTTGAGGGTAATTATGGACACCCCTACGAGCCCACGATCCACAATCCTTTTCCTTTCTCTGAGCCTAGCAACGTCTCGGTGGACTTTCCAATGGTGGTACCGCGTTTTCACTTTCTCGTGCGCGCCCACCAGTGCGTAATGAACGGCTACCGGTGGTCCTGCGGTGATAAGGCTCTCACCATTTTCTCTGCTCCAAACTATTGTGGTGCGAATAATATGGGCGCCGTCGCCATTCTGCGTGGTGATATGCACAGCGTTGCAAAAGAAAGCGCGAAGGACACCATTTCCCTCGAATTTAAGGTATATGAGAGCTTTATGTCAAAGCGGACGTCAGTGCCGCCCGTCTCTGGTCGTGGTGGGGCTACTTTACTGGTGCCGTGTGTGAATGGGGATACCACCAGCCGCTTATCACAGGTATCAAAATGCGAGTGTATGAGTAGGGATGAGGCAAGGCCCCCCCTGAGCAATATCAAACACTTATCAACCAACTTCATTAGAAATCCTATCTTGGAAGATTTTTTTGAATACGACGATAATTACGAGGACTACAAGCAATAAGCGAAATGGGTAAGGTGAGGGGAGGCCATTTGTCCTGTGTCGTATTTAAGTGCATGCCATGTCACGTTTACACGTCTATATATTTAATGGAAATTTTTTAACATTAATTTCCTGCTTCAGCGGATCCTTCAACAACACTGTGCAATATTTTTTATTTTGTGATTCTTTATTAAAAACGGGCAAACGTTGCAGATATTATACTTCACGTGATTGGGGAGGAGGAAAAAATCCCGAACGCGTGACGTTCACGATGATTCTAACGCATGTTAACCGTCACGGTGAAGCCACAGGTGGCAAGTGTTAACCTTAGGTCTTTTGTTAAAGCAATGAATGAGATTTGTAGAAATATCGCTATTTTCTTCTTTTATTTCCTCACTCTTCTTTGAACCCTTTCTTGAAACGTCGATGAAAAAGTGACTTCGTGATTGTCTCGACGACAAAAAAGGAAGGATGGTCGCAGTGGATATCAACAAAAAGGGCAAGAGCCTTCGCATCGGCAAGCGCAAGGGTGCTACCATCCGAGACGTCAACGCGTGGCACTGGATCAAGACGGCTGCCCGCCACTTCAAGAGGGAGGGCAACCTCTTCGTGCCGTCCTGCACGGAGCTCGTGAAGACCTCCTGCGGCCGCGAGCGCGCACCACAGAACCCGGACTGGTACTACATCCGCTGTGCGGCCGTCCTGCGCGCGATCTACCTCCGCCCCGGCGTCGGCTACGGCGGTCTCAGCAAGCGCTTCTCCAGCAAGAAGAACTACGGCAGCCGTCCGGAGCACATGGTGCGGGCCGCCACTGGCCTCCTCCACTGGGCTTGCAAGTCCCTCACGAAGCTCGGCCTCGTGAGTGGCGGGAAGACCTCCGGGCAGTGCCTCACCAAGAAGGGCCGGATGTTCGCGGACTCGCTCGCCTTCAAGGTTCAGGTCCGCAAGTTCCAGAGCAAGGAATAGGAGGAATGGCAAAAAAGCGGGGAGGAAAAGGGGGGTATTTTTATAGAGAACGGTGTGGTATAACGCGAGATCTAGAATTGCCTTCCTTTTCAGGGTTTGCCCTGCAATTTTTCCCAACCCCTTTTCGTACTTTACCAGTTGATCCGTCGAAGTTGCATTCATTTCTGTTTCTTTATTAGTTCCACATTGCAGAGTACGGGTGCGGTACTATGTGACTTATGTCTAAAAGGCTTTGTTTTTTTTTTGTTTTGTGTTTCATTTCCTTTGCATAGGATCTTTTCACCTTCCACCGCCTTTCTTCTGTCATTTTTTTCTTTTGCTGTGCTGATTTTAGGTCTTGAAAAAGGAGAGTCTTGTTCATCACTGGACTTAACCAACCCATACATATTACTATTGTACTATATACCAATGTCGAACCCTATCGATTTTGATCTAACTCTTTTTCTGAAAGAGACACAACTTCAGCACGGCTTGAGGGCGGAGGACTATGCTCGCTACCACCACTACGTCACGAGGCGCTTGGCCACGCTTCGGCGGCAACTTAACCTTTCCAATGACAAGAAGAAGTTTTTAAAAAAGGAAGTGACGGTTCACAACGCTTCCGATCCGCGGCATTTAATGCTCCTGGCGCTTTACGCGGACCGCTGCTGGGCGGCCGCGGAGTCGCTCCGAGAGCAACGTCAAACCTTCCTCGAGTCGCAGTCTAAGATTAACAAGCCGAGTGGGGGCATTCCGCCCTCCGACCAGTACCGCAAGCGGCTCAACAAGTCCGTCAAGTGGGCCGAGAAGCTGAACGCGGTCGCCCAAAGTGTCGCCTCGCCGGACCTCCAGGTGGAGTGCGAGGCCTACCTCTTCGAGACCCTCGGCCGGGCGGCGAGCTCGAAGAACGACATGGCGGCCGCCAAAGCCGCCTTCCTCGCGGCCCGTGCGCTCTACTTCGACCTCCTCCGCCGCCGCCCGTCCTCGGAGGAGTCCCGCCGGGTCCTCGCCCTCAAACTCCACGAGATG